TGTCTGTCCGTGTCAGCGGCTGCGAGGGCTCCTGCAGCGGAGGGGATGGGGGGCGGGAGGGTGAAGAGCAGCCCCCACAGCACCCCAGTGTGGGGGATGGAGGTGCTTTGGGGCTGTACCTGCATCTGGAGGTGGCCCGAGCCGGTGGGTCTCTTCAGCGTGGGAGGAGGGGGGCTGTGCAGCAGCTGCACCGGGTAATCCACTGCGGGGAGAAGAGGGAGGAGGGTTGGGGGACAAGGCCACCCCCCAGGGCTGGGGCAGTCCTGGGGGACCCCGCTCACCTGGTTTGCACGGGATGGGCTGGATGGGCAGCGCTAACTGAGAGTCGGGAGTGACGGGGAGAGGCTGGTGGCTGGGGGTGAAGGCAGGAATCATGACGTAGGGCATGTTGACCTGCTGGAGGGAAGAGGGGGAGAGAAGCAGAGAGACCAGATAATCGCTGTGGTTCCCCACAGGCGGGTGCCAACCCCTTGCCTGACCCCGGGAGGGGACACAAGCCCGGCACATGGAGGGGCTGCATTCACCCATAATGGGAAAGGGGGCATGGAGAGGTGTCCTCTGCCTTTACCTGGATCTGCTGCTGCAGCAGGTTGATTTTGTGCTGCTGCTGGATGAGCTGCTGCTGCTGCTTGGCGATCTGGCAGAGGGGAGACAGAGGGGCTCAGTGGCATCAGTGGCAGCCTCGAGCTGGCCCCCGCGGGGCTACAGCCCGGCATGAGCTGCCCAACACCAGCAGAACAGAGACAAGGGGTCTGCAGAACGTCCGAGGGACCGGGGAGAGGGCAGGCAGGGGGTGGCTGAGCTGCCCCTGAGCCACCCTGGGGGGCACAGGGAGAGAAAAGGGCTGGGAGGGATGGTGTAACCCCCATGCTGGGGTACGCCAGGGGCTGTCACCCCTGCACTTAGCACTGTATGGGCCACCAGAGAGGAAAAATAAAGTGTTCAAATAGCAAAGAGAGCACAGTCAGGAAGGACACAGCGTGGTTCAATTATTTTAAGGAGTGCAATTCCCCTCTCCTTTGACCCTCGTCCTCCCAGCACCAGGGAGCGAGACGAGGAGTTTCTGGGATGAGCGCAGAAAACGGTGGGGGGGTTTCTGCGCAGACCACAAAGTCCCACTGTCCCCAGTGCCAAAGCCACATCCCCACCACTCCCAGGGGAACCCTGTCCTGATCCTGCGCACCACTGTCCAGCAGATCCCAAAAGGATCCCTGAAGGGATGTATGGTCCCCAGCAAACCCCAGGGGTCCCGAGCCCACCTGCTCTTGCTGCTGCCGTGCCAGCTCCATCTGCTGCTGCTGCTTCTCGAAGAGCATCGCAGCCATGTTCTTCTGCTCCGAGTGGGCCGTCAGGAGCTGGTCCCGCAGCGTGGACAGCTGGTTGATCATGACAAGTAGCTGGAGCTCCTTCTCCGCCAGGCTCTCCTGGGTTCCTGGAAGAAACCAAGAGGCTGTGGGTCAGGGGCTTGGGGAGGATGAACAGCACCATCACCACTGTTGGGTGCTGGTGCACGATGCACGGCCAAGGAATGGCCAATGCACAGGGACCATAAAGATCCCCACGTGCTGAACCATCCTCTCTGTGCCAGCTTTCATCAGGGATGCTCACCCCGCCAAAAAAAATCCAAATTAATCCTGCTAAGGTGGGAAACGCAGTGTTTCCAGCCCAAACTGCCCAGGCACAGGGTGCAGGAGGGAGGATGGTGGAGGTGGGTGGCTGGGGGGAGACCTCACCTTTCACTTCCTTGGACTCGGCGGCGTTTCGGCCCAGCAGCCGCTCCTTCCAGTCGCTGGACAGTAACTTCTCGATGGTTGGCATCACTGTCCGCACCAGCAGGGAGCGGGGTCAGCAGAGCGGGGAGAGGGAGAGGACAGAGAGGTGAGCACAGCCTGAGCCTCTGCACCATGGCACGGGGTGGGCTCATCCCATCCGACAGCTTTGGGAAAATACCGAGGGACCCCAAGGGAGCCCAGGGGGGGTCCCAAGAGGCCGCTCAGGAACCTTCCTTACCCTCCTTCAAGTTCTTGTTGAAGTCCAGCTTCTCCTGGCCGCTGACGGCCGGCTCGAAGGCAGAGCGCCTGGGCTCCAGAGCATCGCCGTCGGGCGAGCGGGACTCCTGCGACACACACAGCGGGACTCAGCACCCGCTCCCACCGATGGGGACATCCCCAGCTCTCTGGACAGGAGATGCTGGGCCGGTGGGATGCTCGGGGTCGGCCCTGCCCAGGTAACGGCTGGACCACGCTCTGCCAGGTGCATTCACACCCCCCCCAGCCCAGGTTGAGAGCATCTCTGCTCTTCGTGCCGCAAGGACGTGAGGCAGTGCAGGGTGGGGGGGAGCTGAAGCTGCTGGTCAGGGGGAGAGAAAACCCAAGAGCGATTAGAAAGGGAGGCTGAGGGGCTGGAGCACATCTGGAGGAGGTGGCTGGGGGGGGCTCCACGCCAAAGGCAAAGCGCTCAAACCCCAGGGCTGACCCGAGAGCATCAACAACGGCCAGAAAGCCCTGGGGGAGCCTCAGTTTTCAGCTTTGTTTCCTCAGGATGAGGAATAACCCTCCAGGGAAACAACCACCCACCTCTGCCAGGCGACAGAGCCCAAGTCCAGGGCGGGGATGGTCGCCAGTACTCTGCCAGCCCGGCAGGAACCCCAGCCAGGACCAGTGTCTGTCACAGCCACGGGACCCACCTGCGGCGGCGGTGGCCCCGGCGGGTCGTTGGGACGGGGCTCGGTGCTGGGGGCAGCCCCCGGCGGGGACTCGTAGCCACCTTCCTTCTTCTCCTCCGTCTTGATGGTGCAGTTCACCATGCTGCCTGCTCCATCGAGCTCCAGGTGGGCAGAAACGGGGCTCCTCATGGACATCCTACGGGACAGCAGGGCTGTCAGCAGAGCCATAGGGCACCCCCCCGGCCACAGGCACCCAGCCTGGCCCCATACTGAGGTGCCCTGTGCTGCTGGCTTTTCAGGGGCAATGGTCCTGCTTTTTGCCATGGCTTGGCGATGCTGAGTTTTTGTTCCCGGCTTCCTGAGCTCGGGTTTTGGCAGATTTGGGGCTCAATGGCCAGAAGCCCCCAGGGGAACAAGCCCTTCACACTTTGGGCTGGGAAGGGAATAGAGCAACGAAGTAAAAGCCCTAAAGAAAGTGACCTAGAGGCATGGGATTTAGGGCCGATATGAGCACGTGGCCTCGCGCTTCATCCAGCAGCCTGGCAGAGAGCAACCCAAGGCTCACCGCGACAGAGACCGGTGCCAGACCCGAGCCAGCACCCCAGGGGTCCCTGGCTCTTGGCTCACGAGCTGCCCTCTCCCCCCCCTGCATTGCCGCAGGAGCCGTGCCTAGA